TGTATCATTCGTTTGTCAGTAAATCCTCCCAAATATCTATTGATAAGTATATATCTAATATCCTTATTCATGGATAGAACCATAAACGCTTACTCAGGTTTTTGATAAAAAAATCCATCATCATTAGTTACTTTACCACTTATTGAACCCCATATAACTACTTTACCATTTGATGTTAAACAGACGGAAAAATGCTGTCCACATGCTACTTGGACAACTTCAGCATGTTGAGGTAATATAACTTTTTCTAAAAAAAATTCAAATAAATAATAATAAAAGTGAACAATCTCTTTCAGCTCAAATCTCACCAGGCACACTTGTTCGTCCTTCTCGACCTAATTGAGAATACTCATTACTTCCTGCTGTATATACACTTCCATCATTAAGTAAAAATATTGAATGTGTTAATGAACATGCAACTTGTATACATGCATAATCATTAAAAAATGGTATGCGTTGTGGTGTGGGAATAAAATTTGTCACGGCTGCTGGACCTAGACCAAGCTGACCATGCGCATTGATACCCCAGCCAAGCATTACGTTTGTTTAAAGGTAAATGCACAGAAGTTAACCTGAAATACAACAACTAGTGAAAGAAAAAAGGAAAAAATTCTAGCAAAAAAGTGATGCGAAAACAACTTCATAAGGATATTTTTATTTTATTGACTGTCTTGAACGAGTAAAGTATATTATTATTTGTTCTTTACTCCAGCTGACTTCCAACGGTTAGTAATCCACAGAATCAAGCAAGCCAACAACGAAAACCCTTACATTAGAAGAAAGATGGCGTAAGAATATAGTCCAAAATCAAATACAAAGCATCATACTAACTATCATCATACATGCTTTTTCTGTTGTCTACAAAGAACTGATGGCAATACGTAGTACAACCTTTTGTTTCAGATCAGATTAAAAATAATCGAGTCGACTCAGCGATATGAGATTAAATATTCCGTCGTATTTTTTCGTTTTTTAGCATTTCAATTGTAAAAAGTTATTGACTATCATTATATTTCTAGTATTATATTATTACTGATTTCAATAGTTAGCATATAAAATATTCATGCTAATTATGCCTTCAAATTATTACGAATATTTAAAAAACAACTTTATAGAATTTCTTTGTAATTATCCTTTGAAAAACGTTTGAAAGGTAACTCACCTTTTTGTTTTATAATGAGATGCGTAAGCTGATGCATTAATCGATGTTAACTGGTACTGTTTGATTTCATTTTTTTTGTCTTTTAACGGCGCCAATGACACTCAAAAGTCTTCAATGGTCTTTTATTTTTTAACTTTATTAGCTTCCTAAAGTTTTCAAGGTACGACAAAACGAAACGACTAATGTCACAGAAAACAATCATTAATACCAACACAAGAACATCGCTAAAAGCTATCTCTAACGATGGAAATTCTTTTAAAATATATTTTTTAATACCATGACGGCGCTCACAGTAGTTGTTCAGCGTATTGGCGTACACTTTTCTATTCTTGAGAGTTGCATTTCATCTGAAAGACATGCTGAGAGATTTTGTCAAGCACAGTGTTAACTCATGCATTCGTTGATCGGTGGCAGCAACGGGGACTTTCTTAGAATTCTTTCAGGAGTTTGCTTAGTTTAGAGAAATCTTGAGGGTGTGGGTGTGGGTGAGGAGTATATATATATCATTCATACGTCGCATATATCGGAAAGTTAAACTAAAACTAAATCTATTCCTAGATTTAGTTTTAGTCAGCAGTGTCACATATCCACCATTTTGGAGATGCCATCACATCTTCCACGGAAGATGCCGCATGTCGCGCGAGAGATGCGGGTGTGGGTGTGGGGGATGCGCATCTCTAAAGGAGATCTTACATCTCCAATGGTGAATGACCGCATCTCCCGAATGTGTATGTCGCGTCTCCCGCTGAAGACGCGGCATCTCCTGCGGGAGATGTGGTAGCATCTCCAAAATGTTGGATATGTGACACCACTCGTTATGCGCTGAATTAATTGAACATCAAACAGACATAGCTGAAAGGTATTGTCGATTGGAAACTTCAAAAAAGGATATGATTTTAATTCAATGCTATCAGAATCTCATTTCAGCGTATTAGTAGAAGGTATTGAGGAAACTTTTCTTTCACTGAAAAATAACAGCATGTATTCTTCTTAAGATCTTGTTTCTCTTGTTTGATGATCATAAAAAGTCTGATTGTTATATGATCGTTAGAGAAGAACGAAGCTTCCAAGAATACCGACTTGTATTTTTCTTGTAAAAAAAACCTGCCTTATCTTTGTTCGTGTCTCTATAGTAATTTTATTTTCAATTCTTCTAACATACGAAATTAGTGTAAGCGTCGTTACTCCCTTAATTCATTCAGTTATTCCTGAAAAAGGAACGATTTTCGCCGTTGATAAAAGTTTTTGGGCGAATATATTTTAACATAATTTAGATTCGTACTGTTTTATTCAAAATTTAATCAAGAAGATCAACATTTATTATCAAATAACAAAAAAAGAATAGGAAAAACAATGTTAATATAAGCTTGACTTCTCTCGCACTCGTCCAATAGATTGAATCCACTGAACTAAATTTTCTTGGTCAAGATGATGGTAAATGTTACAGAAATATCTGAAAACAATCGTAGCAACTTGTTGTAAACATTCACTGCTTCGTCATTATCATTCATGAAATCCGAATCTATAGGTTAAAGATGTTCATCTATTTCGCGAACATTCGTAATTCGAAAAATTGAATGTATCGAAAACAGAATTTCATATTCATCTGGATAGTTGCTAACTTTTTCTAATAGAGAAAACAGACATTTAGATCCATGCTTTGCCACTACGATTGAATTGAATCGAATATACAATGTGCCATCTCGAGCACTACAAGCATACATAGAATAGACATCGAAATCTGAACTGATAGAGAAAAGGTTTTCGTAAGAAATTAGACCGTCAATATTTCGATGTAGACATTCAATTGATCAATTCGATTTGAAATCAGTTGTTAATGATAATCTAATTATTACTTAATGAATAAAAAACGAATTTATTCATTATTTCTTTTTCAATATATTTAAGGATTATAATCGATTTTAATTGGATTAATGATGAAAAGAGATCCCTGTTGTATATAGTATTCAGATTTTTATACAGTAATCAATTATAATTCAGATTTTTGAAACTAATATTTTTCACTTGACAGTCGAATATGAATTCTTCGTATGTATTTGTCTTTCTGAACATATATAACAATATCGCCAATGACATCTGCTGTTATTTTGATGCCATTTGATGTTGTAATAAATTAATTTCTTTTACAAAATTTTCTTCCAATTTAAAAGAATTCATAATAATAAACTTCGTAATATCAATCACTACGAACAATATATTTTATGTACTGAGCAACATTGAGTTATGTTCAGATTTCCGTAAACTGGAAAATATGGATGTTGGCAATTTCGGAAATTATCGAAATTTTTGTAATACCAGAGATTTCAGGTCCAAAATTTCTGAATTTTACGTATTTTCCTTTTATAAAAATCTGAACGCTACTGGACACTCATTCCTATCATTATCCACAATTGTTTTCGTTGTCACAGTATTCATGCTTAACAAGTCATTTCTATGAATTGACGCCTGAGTGAGAACAGGCAAAAAGAAAAGTAAAAATTTTGAAAAATTTACGAAAGAAGAAAATATTTGGAGTAGCTTTTTCTTCCTCGGAAGTTTTATGTTGGTTGATTCATTTTGGTTGGCACAATAGGAGAAGCAATTGCACATTAATATGCATCGACGCAAGCAAAATCGAAACGATAATGGAACTTTTTTCATTACTCATTGATGTTGTTAACGAATTTCCACGTTTTTCCAAATATTGTGTCTGCTTAGTTCATATTTTATCGGTTGAATTCTCGTATCTTTTCTATAATTGTAGCATCTATTTATCAGTTAAGGCTGCGCCAAACAGAATTTCCACTAGACCTATCTCATCAACATATAATTACCAAAATGAACGTGAAATCAGTATAAATGAAAAAGTTTCAATTCGATTTCCGTTTGTGAATATGACTGTGTTGGATGAGAAAAATTAAAATAATTTACTGCTTCCCTTTAATTTTCCTATATATATATTTTTTATAGAACAGTAAAAAGAAACGGATTGCTTGAATGAAGTAAACCATCAATTCGTGTATAGTTTCGGAGAATTTTATTTATTTTGAACGAACACTGAAACAGCCAAAACCACTAATCGGTCCTGTTTTCTTTTTGATTAATAATCACATTATGATGCAATATTCGATTTGGGCTATATTCATAGTGTTCTTATATTTCTGGGAGAAAGTGTTGGTATGATTAAAGAAAAAGCTTATCTGTTCAAAGTTGAGATACTACGTCGTTTTCTCAATAGGCTAGCAGAATATTACAATACTTTTGGAATTTATCAGTCATGAAAATGAAAAATGATTGCTCATGATTACTAGAAAAGTCGATCTTCTTGTAACTTACATTGTACATATTGCTCCTAAGTCGCCATTCTATTCTTGTGAGTCACAACACTCTGTAATACTAGTCACAGGGCCTCAGTCAAATCTATTTCTACGAAAACGAATTTTGAATGATAGAAATCAGCTTTGTACACAACAGCTTCTTCTCTCTATTGTGAGCGTTTGATCGAACAGAAGTCGATACTTTCGCCGAAATTTCTACTCATATATATGCCTCACTTATTTCATTCAAGTGGTAGAGTTTCTACAGTGACAATAGAATTGTTTTGGTTTGTATGTTGGTTAAAACCAATATTACATTTGGTCGAAAGTAAAGAAATTACAACAAACAAACATACAAATATAGTGTACATGTCTCTTTACTTCCTTTTTCACATAGTAAAAAGTAGAATTTCATCTCAGCTATAAATTATGTTGGTGTCTACTGTGTAGTTTTACAAATCAAAAAGAAAACCATACCGTCCTCATTTCTCGTATCGAAACTATAGACAATCGTTTAAACAATGTCGATGGAACGTTACAGAGAACATACCATGAATGTAACTACTGTAGGTAATAATGGAGTAGTGGCTGTAGTTCGAGAAACAACTATGGAGATAGGTCAACCTCGCGCCACAGGTGTCATTGCATTTATTCGAAGAACATATCCAGCTTCATATAATCATGTTGTACGAAATATGCATTCCATTGATGCACAAATGAATACAAAAAAGAAGCGTTCAATGCGTGGAGGACATTTACTCCTGTATAGATATACTCTGATTTTAGCGATCGTTCTATGTTTTTCTTTTGGTATTGCAAGTATATTCGCGAAACCATGTGCCGTTGTTCCTTTTGTTCTCTCCGTTCTGTACATCGCATTATCTATCTACAACATAGTAATATTTTTCCTTAATCGTCCTCTTATTAATATTCTCCTCACCAGACAAGTACACCGAGGTGTCATTGCCGGCGGTTTTATAAACGAATTTTACACCGTACCAGTGAATGCAACAGTTCAGACAGGAGCAATTGCTGCATTTATCGATCCAGCAGTCATTGCAGCGGCCGTCAAGCGAGAAAATATTCAACTTACTGAAATAAAAGTTATGCTCTACGACGATCGTTACCTACGTCGCAGCAAGTTTCCAAAAGAAATTATTCTACACCTAATAGTTTTCATTATTTTGTTCATTCTTGCGATTATTTTTGTTATTACGAAGTCTTAAATGAAACAAATGTAATGAAACACTTCTTGTCCTTTTCTACATTTCTTTTTTTTTTATTTTGAAAGTCTATTTCCTGCTGTGAACACTACAAAAGTTATCCACTTAATATAATTGGCAGCAAACCGAATTGCAACTGAAATCGGTGCTCAGTAGATAATAAGGATACAGATGTCGATGAGTTTGCGTTGATGATGGTTATTCATTCACCTCTACCTAGATATCAACATTCGTCGCATAGACACTTACTACATCAATCCACACGAATGTCAGACTCACAAGAACTTCGATGTATCTTTCTATTATTACAATAACTTCTAGTCTAAATCTCTGTTACATTTTTTTAATGAAAACAAAACATATTCGACATGATTGTTTGGAGTCGTTGATAGGGCAAACAAAAGAACCTTTATTTGTTAATAATTTTAGTATTTACATCGTTCAATTAGTAATAATCCTCGGCTGGTAAAAATTAATGTTTACATGAAAAACTCACGTGGTTACTAAAGTATGGCCACCAGCCATTCGATACACTCGTGAAATGGACTCAAGAGCCCCGTCTTATTGAAACTATTTCATTAGTTCGCCAAGGTCAATTTATTTTCGAATAATTGGTTTGTAAAAGTGTTCTTGAAAATAATTAATTGGATGCCTAATTAAATGTAATACAAAAACATTTTCGACTCATATTTTCTTTCACGCGACAGCAAACAGAACGCTAATCGATTTTTTCGTCGAGAAGGCTAGTCCAAAGTTCAGTAGTAGTTTCTCAAATTTTTTTATAAGAAGTTTCATATCAAGAACCATGAGATCAAGTCAATCCTAAATGATACATAGCTAGCATCGTTTTGAATAATGTGCGTGATATATAATGATGGCACAAGAAAAGTCATTTCATAAGCAACTTGTTGATCAATAGAAATATCGTTCACAAGAATCAAAAAATAAATAACTACGATAACAACACTTGAAGCAATATGAGTCATGTCTCAGTCGAGTCCCGATGAAGAGATTGACAATGAGGAAAATTTTTATATTCTATCAAACTCATAGTTATCGAAACTAATCTATGCCAAGCATTGAAAACAAAATGATCAATTTTTTTAATCTAGTATATCACATTATTGATCGCCACTAAATGCTAATCAAATGAAATTTTCCTATTAAAAAATGCGTTGAATTTCTAAATCCTATGTGATCGTTCTATTTTACTCGTGCACAAAATTGAACCACACGTATTCTTTGCTGCACTAAATATAAAATTAATGAAATAAGATTAAGTTACTCGAGTTTTTCATATTTATTTTTTTACAATATATTTCCTTATGCTACATCGAATTACATAATACTGATATCGAATTAATCGGTAGAACATTTCTGCTTCGTCTACCAAAGATAAAAAGCTGACTCCAATCCGAAGACTTGTCTGATCATCGACATCAGATAGAACAGTGATGAATCCCATCGCTGGTATTTGCGTATAATTTTCGACTAAAATTGATTCATGCACTAATTCAATAGAAAGATATTTTTTTAATATTTTGCTGACACGGTGATCGAATTGATCCTTGCAGTACAATGTTAATGAGGAGAAGATGAAACAGTGAAAGGGAAAAAGAAAAAGAAAAAGAAAAAGAAAAAGAAAAAGAAAAAGAAAAAGAGAAAAGTAAAGAACAATAACAATATGAAAAGATTTAGTAACGTAACGAAGAGAAGAAGACCACAACCATACCATTTCACGCAGGCGAAAGAAGTAGATGAAGGAGAGAACAGCCAGTGGGTAAATTGATTTCATTAACGTACGTGGAATTCATATGGCAAGAATAGAAAGATTTTTTTGCAGAATTTAAGATTGCCCATTAAGACGATTACGCCGAGTTCATAGAACATTTATGTGCTTGGACTTGGACTCATAAATAAAAATGTTTCGGGGTGCTCTTGCAGGAGCTATACCTCATCAATGTCATAGAAAGGGATAGAGGACGAGCAGGGGACTGTTGCCAACCATGTTACTGCTTTCTCTAGGATCGAAGTGCATTCGATGAATCTCTTCGAACGTCTTAGACCTTTGATAGGAAATTCACCGTGAGTCCACGCCGTCCTGAGGACGTTCAGATTTCCTTTTTCTAGTAGAAGTTCACCATCAACAGAATCGGCTAAAGCTACCAAGTACTTCTCCCAATAAGATAGAAAGATAATTAGTCTGAACATGCCTCTGCCAACCAGTTGACCAATCATTTGGTAATAGAATTTCAGAGTTTTCAACGAAATGTTTTATATCATACATTAACCAACAGGCTAATGCTTTGACAATAAAATCCGTAATTGAACATTGTTGTGAACAATATGGACAATATTCTACGAGTAAACTTGATCAATTGTTTAGAGTGATGGATGCGTTCGAATAGCATGTATCAGATAGATTACATAATTGAGCTACAATTATTGTTTTATTCCGTGGTAAAACAATTGAACGAGCACTCCATTGTTTTGGATCGATGCAGCCGCATATGCCATGCCTATATTTGAATTAATAGATTCTATCGTTTCTTCTTATTCGTATTTAATATTCTTACGTGTAAACTTCGGCACATAAATCTTCTGAATAACTATATTCCGCATTAGGATAAGTATCAAGCATTGTTTGCATAATCAATGGTATTTCATCATGACATGTTGAATACGGTGCGCTCAAATAGAAAATACTTTTCTTTGAAAATGTCATTCGATGTTTAAAGCCGGTAACTAATGCTCTACCAGCAAACTCAATCATAGGAAATCGTCTATTATCATGTACCATCGCTACCATTCCTATATGTGATATCGAAGAGTGAAATATATTTCAAAATTATGAAAGATTATTCTACAAACCTTCTCCAACATAAGGAATATATTGATGGCTATGTGCATATAAACTAAGTTCGAGTTTGCCAGATCCATCATATTCATCACTTTTACGTACATTCGTCATATTCTTCAATTTAACATTGAATGTGTAACAGAGGCCACGTGAACACGAAAGAAAATAAGTGAAATCGAATGTTGAACAAATCCTATCCTTAAAGACACTTCATGAACATGGCACTCAGAGGAAAAAAGAACTTGATTATTGATTCATTTTCATTGATTTTGATTCGAAAAAATTCCTTGACATCATGACTTTATAATAATGAAAATGAACGTGTATCGTTTGTATTAGTAATATTCAATATATTTGCATAATTTAGAAAAGGCTCAATAAATTGATCATAATTAATATGTGCGACGTTATAAATTGTAAATGCAGCAAAATTTTGTGGCCATTCGCTTACTAAATTTACAGATGTCTGCGTAGAATATTGCAAGTATTCGCGAATAGGTTGAATGGCAAAGTACCATGTAATCCCACTGAAGACGAGGAACGATAGTGGCCAGAACATTCGATTTGTTTATTTTGACTTCGTGCAATACCTGAAATACAGTGAGTTGGTGCGTTGAGCGCAAATTCTTGCATAATCGATCGCCATCTTTGTCGAATTCTATCGGATTTAACTGTGGATCTGCCAACACGAAAGACTGTAGACAAACTCATGTAAGGTGCCGCTAAAGCAGAATTGGAGTAAATTTTGTTTCTCGTTTATTTATATATGGTTTGATAGAGCTTGAAAAGCTGATCAAGAATATGTACTTTTTATTTCGATTTCATCTTTTTTTGGCTGAGAAAATCTTCAAAAACAAGAACGACTGAAAAAATGCTATTTTTATGTTAAATTTAAATTTTTTACAAAAACTACCAAATTTCTTTTCAGTTATTTTCTCAGCATTTTTAAAGTACTACATTCTGAATCAGCATGAAAAACTAAGTAGGAAAATGTTATTTGGTCAGATGTAGACCTAAAAAAGAAAAAAAAACTTATCTCATATAAATAGCTCCATAACACGAAAAATACGTGTCAGTGGGCATTCTTGTAAATCTATCTAGTTTTTTCTAATAAGTAATAGAAACAATTGTCTCATCTCATTAGAGTCGCCACACCGTGGGCTACAAAAGTTATTATTTTGTTTTTTCAAATTTTTATTTTTTTGTTGAGAAATTTGAATTTTTTCGCTGTTGGGTGATAGTATGTAGTAAAAAGACGAAAAATGTGCATTTATTGGCCAGTTTTCATAACAAGAACTACGGCAAAAGGCAAAACCAATAGCATATTAGAAATCAGCGTTAAAATCTACATCGACTCATATGTGTTTGGTACAAAAGTATTTCTGGCGGAAAAAAGCCTGTGGTCCCCCTCAGGTATNAAAAACAAAATTTAACATAAAAATGTTTTTTTTCTCAGGTGTTCTCATTTCTTCAGATTTTCTCAGCCAGGCAGTAACTAAATCGAAATAAAAAGTATATATTCTTGATCAGCTTTTCAAGCTCTATCAAACCATATATAAATAAGCGAGAAACAAAATCTACTCCAATTCTGCTTTAGCGGCACCTTATTTGTTTATAGTTTTGCTTTCAAAACTAACACTGAAAAAAATCGATTGTTGATGTACGTAATAAAACTATATTTGAACATATATGTATGAGGATCTCATGTATTCTTCTTCGTGCCAATGTCAAAGATCTAGAAATGGCATAAAGTTAAATATATATGTATACATTGTTGTCTGGTATCCAACATACAAACGCGCCAAACGGTGATGTTTCCAAAGTGCTTAAATTTAAGCTGCTAAAAGAAAATTTTCTAAAATTCTCACTTTAGTTAGCATCTGAGTATTTTTCGTTTTATGATAAAAGTTTATCGAACTGTAAGTGGCATTGGAATAACACAAGGCCTGAGTCTATTATGTTGCTTGCAAAATTAAGATATTTGCATTATTTTCTTACCATACTCAATAACTATGCCAATTTTTAGTATCTATTTGATATCAACTAGGCCAGCGCACTTTATTACTATCGATAATGATCTTTTTCAACGTTTCTTATAAAATTCTTTTCGAACCTTCTGAAAACACTTTCGAGTAAGAATCAATATAATTATTCATGTCCTTCAATAATTGTAAATGACGAGTTGTAAGTACTGAATCTTCGTGTTCATAGTTAAGTATTTTTATTCTAGATCGTAATATTTCGCCTAACAATACTGGCTGTTCATGCAACGATTTTTGGCTCAATAATCTTCGCTATTTTTAGTCAATATGTTCCAAAGTTTTCCATTTTTTTATGAAAAATTTATCCGTGCACTGTTTGCAGAAAACATTATACTCAAGAGATATCATTTATTAATAGATCTACTACACAAAAAAAATAATTTTGCGTGTGGCGTGAGGGAAATAGCAAAGTTTACGGTGAAAACCTGTACTATTTCTTTGAGTTAATACTATGCTACTTGCTAATCACGATGGAATATCAATGAAACATATTTTGTTGATTTTAGAGTAAACCTATAGTAAACAAAAGATCAAAGTGTGGTTTATTCTTATTGATTCTGTGCTGAAGAATTCAATCTTCCTGATTCTTTCTTGAATTAATCAAAAATCAAAAAATGGAATCGATTCGATTCGATAAAAAAAGCAATTTCTCTATTGACTATTCACGCGATTCACTTTGTTACAATGCTTCGATTCCTCAAGCACAGCTTTTCCCTAAACTGAGCTGATATATTTTCAACTGTTTTTCACAACTACTTCTGTTTCCATCGGCCTAGTAGAAAGATCCAGTTTTATTTAAAATTTAGAATTGTCGAGCAGGTTGCCAGCATTTTGAGCGCCCCTACTGAATGCACCGATAAAAGTCTATCACTAAACGATGATGTATATGCACTTCTGCCATCTGTGAGATTGAAGAAAGTCATAATAAATGCAGTTTAAAAACTGTCTCTTTCTTTTAAATAATTTAATGTTAATTATATGAGATACTTTCGTTATTCTATTCTACACAGATATTTACCCTAATAAATCTATCGAGTGATTAAAAATGCCTATGTACGTATACTCACGTTACATTGAATTGTTTGAGATGAATATATAATTCAATCGTGTACACGATTTACTGTCCACGGATTTACTGTCCATTGATTGGAAAAATTTTATTCCAATTAACGCTATTTTCATACGAGGATTTACTGTCCATTGATTGAATAACTTTTTTTTTCAATTAGCGTTTTCCTCGTTTTGAGGATTTACTGTCCATTAATTGCTTCGAAGAAGAGAAATTAATAAATGAGTAATGGTCTTGACAGCCAATCCCTTTTCTGAGGAAAAAATTACATAAATGTGGAAAAACAAAAAAGTCACCAATGAATGAACTGTTGAA